ACTTTAAACTGGTCTCCACCCTGGAGCCAGGCTTACTTTGATAAAAACTGAACCTCCCCCCCATAATGAGCCAAAAACCCAGAGGACTCCGTGGGGGAGGAACAGTGGACGATCAGGAGACACTAAAACCCTCTTTCCACTGGCAGCTAGGATCCAGGACATGGACCAAATAAAAACTGAACAGAAAGACAGACAGAAAGTCAAGCAATGATCTGGCCCTGAATGCTCAGGCTGAACTGAATATAAACTAGAGGAAACAGGTGAGAGGAATAAATTATAATGAGGCAGGGAAGGAAGAGGGCAGGTGAGAGGAATTACTAATTAAGGGAGAGCAAACAGGCCAGATCATGACAATTTTGCATACACAGAGTGTATATATAAAACGAAATTTTGTTTTGCACAGCTCATGACATTTCCGTTTCTTAAAGTGCAGCAGTGATCAAATGTAAACATTGTGGGAGAAAAAACACATTCACATGGTCAGCATGATGTAGAGGTTTTTTTAACAGTTTAGCTGTCTGATGGCGGTGGGGAAGAAAGTGTTTCGGAATCTGCTGGACCTGCATCGGATGCTGCGAAGCCTCTTCCCAGAGGGCAGCAGGGAGAACCATGGTGGGGGTGTGAGGGGTCAGTGATGATGTTACGGGCTCTGGACATGCACCGCTGGGATGAAACGTCTTTAATGGAGGGAAGAGGAGCCCCGGTGATCTTCTCTGCTGTTCTCACTACTGTGAGAATCATGTGTGCCTCCCTAACATGGTTTTATATCATAGGTCATGCAGACAGTTGTTCTTGAAGCTTCACATACTCTTCCATTTAAGACCAAAAAAAATGAAAAATAGCTGCCAGTAAAATAAATTAAAATTGACAAAAGTAGTTATAAATAAAAATTATAAAAAGTGGAAATCATTACATTGAATTTGAATAAATATATGCATATTTTTATGTTAATAAATGAAACAAATAAACAAGCCTGAGGGAGCTCCTGAACTAGAATGTTGTTGAGCAACATTTTGAGGCAATCATTTCTGAAATCGGGTGTTTTTCTGTAACATTCAGCAAATGTTCAGTCAGACTTCTGCACCTTTCAATAGGGATGTAGGTTCACTGTTCATCTGCAAGGGGCTTTAATTTGTCTGGGATATTTTTTTAGGTATTTAAAAATATAAATCAATATTTTATCTTATTTGATGATCATTTAGTAATTTATTATTACTTTTTCAGTTTTTTGAAACACTAGTGTGAATTTATCATTTTCTTTGATGGTTAAAGAGTTTGTAAACTTTTAAGCACAGCTGTTTCTCCATGATGCATCGTGTCCATAAATGAGTGCAGACAGGTTAAAGCTTTCAGTATTTGTTGCTGGATCTCCAGACAGTTTGTCTTAACCCTTATATTATGTTAAGGGTCAATTTGACCCATTTCTCTTTTTGTGTTGATCAAAGTTATCTTTTTTTTTTTTTTTCTTCATCAAATTTGGTGACTTTTCCTCATCTGGGGTCATGAACATGTAGAAAGCTGGTCACTCTGATGTGTAGTGGAGTGTCTGTGCAGAGTATGTATACAAATATGATGTTATGGGTCATTTTAACCCGGACACTTTAATGTGGGTAAGTAGCCACTCAGGTAAATAAAAATGCTTTTTTGATGTACTTTACTGTTTTCATTTGCCTCCGAGACCCAGACCCAGGTATGGTAAGGGAGGAAACTTTCTTGCACTAGTTCTTGTCAC